CAAACCAATGAATATATATATATATATATATATATATATATATATATGTATATATATATACATACATACATACACACGCACACACATGTGGCATATCTATATATATATATATCATATATATAATATATATATATATATATATATATACATATATATATATATATATATATATATATATATATATATATATATATATATATATATATATATATATATATATATATATATATATATATATATATATATTCAGGGCTCATAGAGAAGGGTTAGTAAGGACGGGGTAAAAAAAAATTAAAGTCAGTTTTGATAGGCATGTACGTGTGATTCAATTCATCAAAATTAACGGTTGGTGTTGCCTTTGTTTCATTTAAGTTGACATTTCAAGGAATCCATTATCATTGTTGTTTTTATTATCATTAATATTATTATTATTATTATCAGTAGTAGTAGTAGCATCATTATTATTTTCATTGTTATTTTAATCATTATTACTATTACCATCATCATTATAATCATTATTACTATTACTATCATCATTATCATTTTTACTTATATTGCTATCACTATTCATATTAACATTGTTACTGGCACGATTTCCTTGTTACCAATTTAATCATTACAACTATCAATGGCATTATTTCATTGACATTAGATATCTGGTAGATATCTAATATATATATATATCAATATTACCTATATTAGTAATTTATTATTATCTTCAGTACAATCAATACAATTTGGATTATTTTCATTATTAATATCAAAATAGTCTCATCGTGATTATCATCATTCTTGTTATCTTTGCTGTTATCATTATTATCACAGTTATCGTTATGATCATTATTACCATTCTTATTCTTATCGTCGTCATGACTATTACTATTATACTATTTTTCATTATTATGATCATCATCACCATTATTGTGATCATTATCATTATCACTATCATTACTACACTACACGGTATTTTTATACATATGATACGAGTCATAAAATTTTGCTCCAGATTTGTAATACCTTGCTGATGGTTGAAGCTCTAAATGATATGAAATTTTAAATATTTAAAAAGTAAACAGGGCACTTTTGGAGATATTAACAGGTGGCTGCAACATGGGAAGCTAATTGCAACCTGCAGTTTTGATCGGTCAATTGATATCTATTGCATTGCAAAGATCTATAGAGCACAGACCATTAGCAAAATAGCGCAAACAGATTCGCAAATATACAAATGCTTTATCATTAGTTTTGTAAAGCAATAAAGAGACATTGCAAACCACAACGCATTTGCTTTGCAAGTATTGTAAAGTATTTATCAAAAGCTTTCTCTTTTCTGAGTCAGGAACTGAATTTTCGCATTGACATAGGATGGTACATATTAAAGCAGTGTGTAGGCATGTAAAATAAAAATGATGATGAGTGTTTATACACCTGTAGTTCATTGGTGACAAGATTATTGCTGACATTTTTGATATTTCAGTAAAAATATTTTCTTTGAGAACCATAGCAATTAAAGAGAGTACAGCGACATCGTTGGTGAAACTGTTACTGAAACTGAAATCCTCTCGGCGTGAAACAAGCAAAAAAGTATAAAAAGAAAGAAACGAAACAATGAAGAAAAAATAGTTTAAATCAATGTTACCTGTCGGCACTCCGTGACCGTGTGCACGTCTGTTATGGCTGTGACCCCGTATTGCTCTTTTGAATACTCACCTTACGTAAAGGGGCGTTGTGTGATACAAATCAATGTAATATGGGTTATATTATTTCTAAAATTTTGTGATCAACATTTGGTCTAAGAAAAGTTATTCTATACCGAAGTTTGTGCTTTCAAAGGTATTTTTCGGGACTTGAGTCCGACTGGGGTTCTGGTGTTGCTTAGATAAGAGGGGCTAAATCACAAAAAAGGAAAATGAGTTTTGTGTATGGCAACAAAGTTACTCGTGAACGGAAAGTACCACTGGCAAAATGCCGGACTTTGATATCGCTAGAACGCATGAATACTGTCACACTAGAACGCATCCCATTATATATCGTTGTTTTATCATTTAGCGACGACCATTTCTCATCTTCATTTTTATTCATAGCATGATCTAAATCTCAATGTTTTTGGCTGATTCCACTCCAACCTATGAACTTTATCTCTTATAGTTCATCGGATGCTACTACAGCCCATGAAATCTTTTAAAAACCAAAGCACAATGTTTTCCGCCTGACCGAATGTCACAGAAAAAATCACCAATCGTATAAATGTACCTGTAAACTGTATCCCTCGCGACCGGGTATTTCACCTCTGTTATTACAAACTAAAGCCCTTCCCTCTGTTCTTACATGTTCTTACAGTCAACAACCACAACCACAATTGAACACCTGGAGAAAATTAAAGAAAAACTCCATAAATGAAGTCTACTGTCCTATTAAGCAACCTCCAAACCTCTGAATGAAATCCCTCTTTTGCTACAGACATCTTGCAACTCAGCCCGACAACGGGAGTAAAAGCAAAGGCCAACGCTGTCTCGGTCTCATTTCCCCTTAGCTTAAACCGGAGAGCGAGTAGAAAACCACGACCGCCGAGACTGTGACACGCCGCCAACTGTAGCCCTGTTACGAGGGGTAACTTCTATAGAGACACGAGTGGCACTTGATGTGAGTGACTTGTTGGCACTTAACGCTGTTTGTGAGTTTTTTGGAGGTCATTTGACAGTGGTATTATAATCAATTGATAGTTATAATGTCGTTATTGTGTTCATATTGTTTACTTGTGGGATATATTTATTTTTCGTCATGTTTTACCTTGAAATTAACTGGATATATCCGACGTCTGTGCCAGGAAAGTATAAATAGAAATAAGATAGAGGACAAAGGTTCAGCCAGTGGAAAATCTGGGACACTGGGAAATAACTTCAATGGCTGAAAGTTTCCCCTTGGAAAGCAATTTATGACAAAGAAAATAGACGATAAAAAAGAAAATGCCAAAGACAGCGATGTATATAGGCTACATTTTGCGTTTTTAACACAGTACTTGATATTATTTGTGCGCATGTCTTTTAAACAATAATCCGTCACGTAAACATAGAGATTCATACAGCATATATTATACATATTCTTCAAAGTAGTACATAACTACTTTTGGTATACTGCTCTGTGGCCAACCGCGCCTGGTGTATGGTTAATTTGAACTATTTTAAGAAGTGTTAAAGAAATTTTCACATACTGAAGGTAGGTGTAACTGTCAAAATTTAGAATACCGTAAATTGCTGAGAAAGTGTTGACATAAATTACTGAAACCATTGTATCCCCTGTGTAGTTTGCATACCGAAACGATTTGTTATTCATGTTGAAAGTGAATAAGGTTTTTAAATACCTGATTTCAGTTACTTTATTTATTTATGTTTTCTTATCATTCGTTTATTTGTATTTGATTTATTTATTTTTGTTATTTCTCTTCAGAAGCTGTAATTGGTGTTGTTGTTATTGTGTTGGTCTTATTTTAAAATGAGTATTATTATTACTCGTATTATTATCGTCAATACAGTATTGTAATGATGATTAAAGTAATAGTAGTGATAATAATTAATACTGATATGATATTGACAATGATAATTAGAATAATGGTGATGGCAATAATGGTAATGGTAATAATGATGATTGCGAAGATTGTAATAATGGTGATAGAAATAATAATGATAATGATTAATGATGATAAATATGATTTGGAGAATAGCTATAATAATTATAATGATAATGATAATAATAATGATAATAATTATACTACTACTACTACTACTAATAATGATAGTAATGATAATACTAATAATGATAATGATGATACTATTGATGATAATTATAATGATTGGGATACCACTAATGAAAATGATAATGATAATAATAATGATAATAATAATGATGATATTAACAATGAATGGTAATGATAATGATTACTATTATTATCATTACTGATATTTTTTTCTGCTAATAAAAACTTAGAATTGTTACTGTTGTTTTTCTTATATTTATCATGAATATGTTGGGATTGTAATGATGAGGATGACGATTACTGTAAGTAGTAGAATCTTCGTCATTATTACTATTGGTATTAGCATAACTACTATTGTCATCAACACCTCGATCATCATGATAATCATCATCACCATCATCATCATATCACCATCATCGTCATCATCATCATCATTAATATTTTCATCTTCATGTTCATCCTCATCCTCCCCCACCCCCTCTTCTTCCTCCTCCTCCTCACCCCCCCTCCTCCTCCCCCTTCCTCATAATGATGATAATGATGATAATAGCAGTGATTATGAAAATAATGATAATGAAAATTGTAATAGCATTAATGATAATAGTGATAATGTTAACAGTAATAATCGTGATAATGTGAAAGATGACATAAAGTTAAAAATAATGATTATGAAAATGATAAACAGCAGTAACAAGAACAATAATGATGATGATTACCGTACAATATTGATATTACTCATAAATAGAGTAATTGGTAATAATGTTAATGATAATGTCAGTTATGACAATAATGATAATGATGATACAGTATAGTAACAAGGAAAATAACGAGAATATTGATGATGATAATGATAATGATGATGATAATGATAGTGATAATAATAATGATAATAATATTAATAACCGTAACAATGACAACAGCGACAAATATAATAATGTTAATAATTTGTGATAATGATAACTGATAATGATGCTGATAATAATGATGGTAATAATAATAATATACATAGCAATGGTTATGATAACGAGGATGATAACTATTATTATGGTAATAATGAAGTTATAAAAAATAATAGCATTAACAATATTACAACTACTACAATTAGTACTAACTACCACTAACGGCACTGAACCACTACTACTAACACTGCTGTTTTTTTTCTGTTGCCATCGTGATTATTACAGGCGACACCAAATGATGCAGAAAAAATAGATGAAAAGTGGCCACAAAACAGAGGCGGGCCTCCTTGGTGGTACGGCGGTGCTCCAACCCCCCCCCTCCCCTGCAGTCTGAGCCCCCCCCCCCCCCCCCCCCCCGCCCCAATAGTCACTGACTCGTCGTAACGTGAATCACTGCGGAAAGTTCGTTACCGACGCTACACGTTAAGTCGGAAGCAAAGCTGAAACCCTGTTTGATTAGGCTATGTTTACAACTCATGAAGGTTTTTTTATTTTGGAAAAAGAGGGAAGTGGCTCCGCGGCTCCGTTTAGTTGAAACTAATTACTACACAGAACACTGTTATGTTCACTGTACATAGCTAGAAGCAAGGTCTATATAAGTACTTATATAGACCTTGGCTAGAAGCACCAACTTCTGACTAATTGTACAGCAAACATCATAATGTTCTGTGTTAGCCTACCACTTGGTAAAAGTACACCCAGCAGATTTAATATGGCCAAGAAAAACAAGATGAAAACATAAACAATGTGTAAGTGTACAATATAATTTTTGAAGGGGGCAGTTTTATTTTGTTACTTTGGGGCGCCCCCCCCCCAGATTTATTGTTGTTACCCCCTGTGCCCCCACCAGAAAATTATCAGGACCCGCCCCTGCCGCAAAATAGTCTATTTTTGATATTTGTTCTATAAAGTGATAATAATGAGAATGGTATAGGTGATACCTTACTTTATATGCTGAATAAATGGTACAGTGAAGTAGAATGATGGCTAATTTTATGTATGTACATATATATACGTGTATGTATATTAATATACATATATTTATTTATTTGTTTATGATATATATTATATATCTATATCTATATCTATATCTATATATATATATATATATATATATATATATATATATATATTATACATATACACGTGTATATGCAATTTTGCGTACAACGTGATTGGATATATATATTTGTTTTATCTTTGGAAGGGCGAGTGGCAGCTACTACTAAATAACACATTTTGGTTACAATTATTTATAATGAAGAATGTCGAAGCTGGTCATCATTTCTGTTAATGTATGTTTGAAATATTTTTAAAAAGGCGATAGAGATGGTGATAACTGTCACATTGTGCTTTAGGTTAGTGTTGTTACTGTGGAATTTAATTGAGATTGGCTGCATAACACATTATTTTTTACTAATATGTAAAAGTACCGGTAATATTTGTGACCGATAACTTCGTCAGTGTAATTGCATTTTATCTGTAGTACTGATGATACTTTTTCCTCAAATATTCCTACATAGTAAGCATAACTACTCAAAACTGGATTCGAGTCATTACTCACAAAGTAACTTCGCTTTGGACAATAAACAAAAGTGTACAGCAAATGTAAGAAACAAAATAGTCTAAACGCGCGATTCCCGTGGTTTCCATTTGTCCAGACAGCGGTCAGACTGTGATCACGTGAACACTTGCTGTGATGACGTCATTTTCCCAGAGTAATAAAAAACTGAGTTATCGTACACTGGCAGTCAAACGTTTGTTTGTATACAAAGATGAAATATTCTGATGGCTGTATTTGGCTTCGGCTTCGTTTACGTTATTTTTTTTAAATTCTCGATTATGTGAAATGGCGAGGGCTTCATAGACAAAATTTTGTACTTATAGTAGCATTTTGTATTAAATTTGGAGTACACTTTTGTTCATCATCCACAACGAAGTTACTTTGCGAGCAATGAATCGATTCCAAACAGTTTCCGTCGTCTGCACCATGAGTTTAAAAACCTTCAAAAAGGCTTATTTTGAGTAGTTTTTGCATTTCAACAAACAAACTGTGTTAAGTTAGGTTACCAGTTATATTGCGACACGTTTTCATGTGCTCATATTCAGCTGGGTGAATAGAAATTGAGTGAGTGCGAAAGCTGTTTAGTGTCATTAACCTTTCGCTGTATTGAGCTCGGAGAATTACGCTAGGCCTTTGGAAACGCAGCTTTTATTGGTGTAGATACCCGGCTATTGCAGTTTATTATATTATCTTAAAAGCCCCATTTACTTGAATATTAAGTTTTAGTCCTGTATATTGCTGCTGCATCTAGTAATAAGGTTTATTTTATAGTTACAATTGTAGAACTTAACATTGCATCAAGAAACTATCTTTACAATTGGTAAAATTATGACCTCATGAGGGAAAGGGGTATTTGCTGTGTAGGAATGCAAATTACATTGCACTTATAATTTAAGTGTATTTAGTGTTGAAAGCCGTTTCCTTAATTATGGTATTTGTTACTGAGAACGATGCACCCTTCAGAGACTAATTCCCATAAGCAGGGTATAATGTGAACTAAAAAACCCAAACCTAATATTTCTTACTTCCTATTTATTCCGTATACAAAAAGGAAAGCCCCCTTGTACCCCCCCCCCCTTTATTATCACTTTGTGCAACTTTAGAAAACGGACATTAAGAATGCTGGGTGTGTGAGGGTGTTGTAGACTTAGTCTCTGAGTAGTGAGAAGCAGTGGATATTTTCATCATTTCGTGGTAAATATGAGGCCACAGCAGCTGTACCCATGTTGTTTATTACTCTATTTCCTATGCCCAATAAGATAGAAGTGTCAATTTCCCTCTATCGCAGTGCGTCGCTGTCGGTAACACTAACGTTGGTTTTATATATAAAGTGGGTAATTGCAAAAGATAGCACTGCATGAAGGAAAGTCAAAACTGTAAAGTCTTGGCTTCTGTGCTTTTTACTCTCAATGGAAGGTAATGGATTTCTCAATTATATATAATAAACTACGGCTTGGATTAGTTCCATATTTTTCATGAGTAAATAAGATATATTTTGTCAGATTATACATGGTTGAGGTTGTTTGTCCATGCCAAAGTGCAAATCACTGAAACCATATAATCACAAGACCATGCCACATTAGCATAGTTTTGTGGATTTTGATAAGTGATGATGGTGTTTCCTTTATCTTTTTAAGATAATTTTATACCCAACAACATTAATTTGTTTATTATAGCCTTTACCTTGATGCTTCCCTATCTTTGCTGAATTCATTTATACTGATATGGGAATATGTTACATTTTTTAGTAATCTTTTTGAGCTTCACTATCTTTCTAGAGATTAAAAAGTATCTGTATCCAGTTATGAAAATATGTGACAGTCAGTCAGAGGAATCAATGAAAATACTTATTCGCTAAGAAAATTTACACACTTAAAAAAAGAAAGGTAGCCATGAATGAAAATTTGTCTTTTGGATTCAGTTTTATAGAAGCTTAGTAGATGCAAAACATTTAAAACAAAAATAGTTTGCATATACTGTGAATATACTGAATTGTTGAGTGCAAATAATCATAATGGTGAATTGTATTTCAGTTTGCAGAGAGTACTCAACCATTTTTTTTACTAAGCCGGTATTGGATGCAGATTATTGATCCGTTATTTTTATTACTTAGTAAGCAATAAGAATAGGTAAGCAGTATGATTAAGTGTAACTGATTTTCTAATGAACCATACATATGTGCTTTCAGTTTGACAAGTTTTGCTGTAAGTGGACATCATGGTGAAGGAAGGTGCTACAACACTGCCCTCACCAGGTACTCCTGCAGCCTTGCCTATTCTGAAGGATTTTCTCAGCCACAGAGATGGGAATCCTGTTGGTAAGTATTAGAACTAATTTCTTGTTTTTGCTTTCCATTTCAATTTTTTTGCTTATTGATCATTGGCAGAAAACATATGGATTTCTCTTTTTATATTTGGTTGGTACTCAATACTTTTTTTTAATTGGTATGATTAAGAGTGTGATGGAATGTTTTCAGATTATAGCCATGTGGATGATGATCTCCACATGCCGGAGTACTTAACTGGCTACCACAGTTTAAGAGAAAAGATCCATAGTCGGATAGAATCAAAAGACAAATTCTTCTCACTGGAGTTTTTCCCACCTAGGACGAAAGGTGGTGCAGTGAACCTCTTAGCCAGGTAAATTTTATCAATGTATATATGCATGTGATATATTTAAGTGACTTAATATTTATGTGAAAATTAGAATTATGAAGAGTGAATAAAAATGAATGATTTTATATAGGGCTTTGCATTATTACCTGACATTCATAAGTGTCTCAGGAATTAAAACTGTTAATGTTCTTGTTTTGCACTATATGCTTTGTTAATTCATAGGTTTGATCGCATGCGTGAAGGAGACCCCCTTTTCTGTGATATTACATGGCATCCTGCTGGCAACCCAGGAGGAGACACAGAGACCTCATCTATGACTATTGCTGGTATGGGCTTTTTCAGTGTCCTGTTTGATGAATTTTCATCAATATTTAACTGCTTCAGCTTCTATCTTTGTACACAGATTTAGTCTTATTTCATGTTCTGACTTTTTATAAATTGCAAGCATTGGTATCTAATGTTTCTTCTATATATTTAAGAATTGTATTGCTTTTTGAATTTATAAATAATGTGATTATTTATTTATGAATATTTGACTCATATATTTTTCAAATAGAAATACTTTAAAAAATTGCACTGACTTCTTATTTCCTGATACAGGTGCTGCCTTGAACTACAGCGGCCTAGAGACAATGCTGCACATGACATGTTGCTCTATGACCAAAGCAGAAATCAGCAGGCACCTTCAGCGAGCTAAGGACATAGGCCTTAAAAATATTTTAGCACTGAGAGGAGGTGAATTTATGATACATATTGAAAATCTATGTATTTAAAATCCATGACTTTCAAGATTCTTCATATATCATCAGTCACTTTCTTAATAAGATATATTTATAAAAAAAAAAAAATGACAATAGATATTCTAAACTAATAGCAGAGATTTTTTCATGATGCACACACTACCAAGCAGTTGTATTAACATAAGTGCATTCAGTCTTCCCTTCTTTAATACAACGTTTGTTGCAGATCTTCCAAGTGGCAAGGATAGTTGGGAACTCTCTGAGGATGGGTTCAACTATGCTACAGATCTTGTCAAACATATCAAAAAGGAATTTGGAGATTACTTTGTTACATGTGTAGCTGGTTATCCCACAGGCCACCCTGAGGCCACATCATATGAGGATGACTTGAAGCACCTGAAAGAAAAGGTAAAGGGCACATTTAAAAAAATTGTCATCAGTTCTTCATTTTTGTATTCTTCAACAAAAACCATTCTTATCTAAATCATTATGGTCCATGGTCCATCTGTCCAGGCAGATGAAGAGGAAAGGGAAATTAGTACATGAACATATTTTATAGACTCCTAAAAATTTAGTTGGGAGATTATTTGGAGAACAGCTGGTCCCCCAGGTTTTCACCATTTTTTAAAACTTCTTTATAATCCTCATCCTCATAAGCTGTATATCCATTTTATTTAATGTACTGTATGCTGATTTTAAGGGTAAGGATATACAGTGTTTAATGCAAGAAATGTCACAGTGATAAACACATCTTTAGAATTACATGGTATTGAAACCAGTTGCATATCTTGAATTATGAAATTATTCTTATTCATTCATAGCCTTTTAAAGTCTAAATATTAGTCACTCTTTAACCCAATTTCTTCTATAAAGGTCACTGAAGGTTGCAGATAGATGAATGATTACATAGATTTTACATCATTAACATTGTCTTCTCTTTGTATTTCAAGGTTGATGCTGGAGCTGACTTCATCATAACGCAGCTATTCTTCAAGGCAGGGACATTCATCAAGTTTGTGAATGACTGCCGGGCTATTGGCATCACATGCCCTATCATCCCAGGGCTCATGCCTATCCAGAGCTATGATTCCCTAAGGCACATTGTCAAGCTCTCAAAGTTAGATGTCCCAGAGGACATCATGAATGTAGTTGCGCCATTGAAGGACAATGATGAAGCGATCAGGAACTATGGGATTCATCAGATGTGCACACTTATCAAGGAGTTGTTTGCAGCTGACATGGCTCCTGGAATACACTTTTATACACTAAACAGGTTAGCTGTTGTTTGGAAATGCATTAGCAATTAAGATAACTGGTATATTGTAACTATCTATTTTGTATTTTTTAAAACTTTTCTTCTGAATGTTTCCTTTTCCTGTTCTGCATCTTCACTTCCCTTTCCCCTTCTCTGCCTTCGTCATCAACACAGAAAGGAAATGCTTTGATTGTATACATTCTTATAATTTGTCCTTAAATTATGTTTTTGTTATTACAGAGAAGTAGCAACTACAGCCATTCTGAAGCAACTTGGCTTGTGGGCAGCTTCTCCGAGGAGACCTTTACCTTGGAAAATGGCTGCTAATCACAAACGGAGTGGAGAAGATGTCCGTCCAATATTCTGGGCTACTCGACCAAAAGCTTATGTGTACAGGTGAGAGAGTTGGGGCTAGGATTAGAGCTAGAGTTAGTCAGAGCTAGAGTTAGTCTGAACTAGAGTTAGTCTGAACTAGAGTTAGTCAGAGCTAGAGTTCGTCAGTCATAGCTAGAGTTCGTCCGTCAGAGTTAGAGTTCGTCCGTCAGAGTTAGAGTTCGTCCGTCAGAGTCGTCCGTCAGAGCTAGAGTTCGTTAGAGCTAGAGTTCTTCCGTCAGAGCTAGAGTTCGTCAGTTAGAGCGTCCGTCAGAGTAGAGTCGTCGTCAGAGCTAGAGTTCGTCCGTCAGAGCTAGAGTTCGTCCGTCAGAGCTAGAGTTCGTCCGTCAGAGCTAGAGTTCGTCCGTCAGTCGTCCAGTCAGAGCTAGAGTTCGTCCGTCAGAGTAGAGTTCGTCCGTCAGAGCTAGAGTTCGTCAGTCAGAGCTAGAGTTCGTCAGTAGAAGCTAGAGTTCGTCCGTCAGAGCTAGAGTTCGTCAGTCAGAGCTAGAGTTCGTCAGTCAGAGCTAGAGTTCGTCAGTCAGAGCTAGAGTTCGTCCGTCAGAGCTAGAGTTCGTCAGTCAGGGCTAGAGTTTGTCCGTCAGAGCTAGAGTTCGTCAGTCAGAGCTAGAGTTCTTCCGTCAGAGCTAGAGTTCGTCAGAGCGTCAGTCAGAGCTAGAGTTCGTCAGAAGCTAGAGTTCGTGTCAGAGAGTTCGTCAGTCAGAGCTAGAGTTCGTCAGTCAGAGCTCGTCAGTCAGAGCTAGAGTTCGTCAGTCAGAGCTAGAGTTCGTCCGTCAGAGCTAGAGTTCGTCCGTCAGAGCTAGAGTTCGTCAGTCAGAGCTAGAGTTCGTCAGTCAGAGCTAGAGTTCGTCAGTCAGAGCTAGAGTTCGTCAGAGCTAGAGTTCGTCAGTCAGAGCTAGAGTTCGTCAGTCAGAGCTAGAGTTCGTCTCAGAGCTAGAGTTCAGTCAGTAGAGTTCGTCAGTCAGAGCTAGAGTTCGTCAGTCAGAGCTAGAGTTCGTCAGTCAGAGCTAGAGTTCAGTCAGAGCTAGAGTTTGTCAGTAGAGTTCGTCAGTCAGAGCTAGAGTTCGTCAGAGCTAGAGTTCGTCAGTCAGAGCTAGAGTTCGTCAGAGCTAGAGTTCGTCAAGAGCTAGAGTTCGTCAGTCAGAGCTAGAGTTCAGTCAGAGCTAGAGTTCGTCAGAGCGTTCAGAGCTAGAGTTCGTCGTCAGAGCTAGAGTTCGTCCGTTCCAGAGTAGAGTTCGTCGTCAGAGCTAGAGTCGTCAGAGCTAGAGTTCGTCCGTCAGAGCTAGAGTTCGTCAGTCAGAGCTAGAGTTGTCAGAGCTAGAGTTTCGTCAGTCAGAGCTAGAGTTCGTCAGAGAGAGTTTCGTCAGTCAGAGCTAGAGTTCGTCAGTCAGAGCTAGAGAGTCAGAGCGTCAGAGCTAGAGTTCGTCAGTCAGAGCTAGAATCAGAGCTAGAGTTCGTCAGTCAGAGAGAGTTCGTCGTCAGAGCTAGAGTTTCAGAGTTCGTCGTCAGAGCTAGAGTTCGTCCGTCAGAGTTAGAGGTTCAGAGCTAGAGTTCAGAGCTAGAGTTCGTCAGTCAGAGCTAGAGTTCGTCCGTCAGAGCTAGAGTTCGTCAGTCAGAGCTAGAGTTCGTCAGTCAGAGCTAGAGTTCGTCCGTCAGAGCTAGAGTTCGTCAGAGTTAGAGTTTGTCCGTCAGAGCTAGAGTTCGTCAGAGCTAGAGTTCCGTCAGAGCTAGAGTTCGTCCGTCAGAGTTAGAGTTCGTCCGTCAGAGCTAGAGTTTGTCAGAGCTAGAGTTCGTCAGAGCTAGAGAGAGCTAGAGTTCGTCAGTCAGAGAGAGTTCGTCAGTCAGAGCTAGAGTTCCGTCAGAGCTAGAGTTCGTCGTCAGAGCTAGAGTAGAGTAGAGTTCGTCCGTCAGAGCTAGAGTTCGTCCGTCAGAGCTAGAGTTAGTCAGAGTAGAGTTCAGAGCTAGAGTTAGAGAAGTCAGAGCTAGAGTCGTCAGAGCCGTCAGAGCTAGAGTTCCGTCAGAGCTAGAGTTCGTCGTCAGAGCTAGAGGAGCCGTCAGAGCTAGAGTTCGTCAGTCAGAGCTTTCGTCATCGTAGAGAGAGTTCGTCAGTCAGAGCTAGAGTTCGTCAGTCAGAGCTAGAGTGTCAGAGCTAGAGTTCAGTCAGAGCTAGAGTTGTCAGAGCTAGAGTTCTTCCGTCAGAGCTAGAGTTCGTCAGTCAGAGCCAGAGTTCGTCAGTCAGAGCTAGAGTTAGTCAGAGCTAGAGTGATGGAAAAAAAGAATTTAAAAAGTTAAATTATACTTGAGGAAATAGAGGGAAAGAAAGAAGGAAAACAATATGTTAAAATTTTGTATGATGAAATAAAGATTGCAGATTCTTTATCAGTACAGAACAAGGAAATAGTTAATATTGTCTAAATTATGTTCATTTTCCAGAACACAGCATTGGGATGAATTTCCGAATGGAAGATGGGGGGCTTCAGAATCGCCTGCATTTGGTGAATTGAAAGATTACTACCTTTTCTACCTCAAGGTAAGAAAGATTCTAAAGTGCCTACAACAAACAAGGAACTTCTTTACTGTGTGAACTGAAGCATTTAACCAATTATGGCTCTTTGAATTGACGTATCACATATTATTATTATTTTTTTCAGAGTAAGAGTTCTAAAGAGGAGCTGCTCTCAATGTGGGGAGAAACACTGGAGAGTGAGCAAGATGTTTGGGATGTGTTCCATGCATACTTGACGGGTGCGCTGAATAAGGCAGGCCGGAAAGTGACCAAAGTAAGTGACATTATTATTTTCTATCTGTTTTTTTTCATACTTTTTATGTATTTGGAAAGTTAGGTAGGATAAAGTGTAGTAATTGAAGCACACATATCTTGAGATAGGGAGTTCTCTTTTGACATCCTGATTACTACCTTCAAATATACGTTATAAGGTTACGATGTCATCCAGGTATTATTCTCTCGCACAAAAGACTTGCTTATTATTCACTGACTCATCTTTGTATTCTAGGTTCCTTGGAATGACGATGAGCTAAGTTCAGAGACTTCCTTGTTAAAAGACAAGTTGGCCGACTTCAATAAACGTGGTGTTCTTACCATCAACTCCCAGGTAATCATCTAAAGAAGATACTGTATTTTATTTAATTTTTTTCTTCTGTCTCTTCCTCTTCTTTTTCTTCCTTGTCTTCTTTTCTTGTTCCTCCTCATTTTCTTTTTTTTTCCACTTCCTTTTTTTCATTGTCTTCTTCTTCTTTCTCCTCCACTATCTCATCTTCCTCCTCCTGTTCTCCCTTCTCCTCCACTGGTGGCGCAGCGGTAAGGTGCTGGTCTAGCAATCTTGCGGACCTGCGTTCAATCCCACGCCTGGCCAGTGAGTGGTATCCCCGGCCACTCCTTGCACACAGGGGGAGATTTGGGCAAAATAAAACAGACAGTATGTCACAGCAAAGAATATCCATTGTAACAAATGGAATTAAAACTAAATCTTTAATCTTAAACTCCTCCTCTTGAGATTTCTCCTCCTTAGTATTATCATTATGACTGTTGCACATATTTCTTTTTTTCATCTTGTTAGTATCATATTATATTTATTACCATCAACTCTACTATTTTATTATTATCACTGTTATTGTTGTCTTCATTATCATTATGATTACCAAACTTTTCATTCTTCCTCGCAGCCTAGAGTGGATGGCGCAAGCAGTGAGGACCCAGTTGTG